CTTTATTCATGTCTTTATTTAATCATGTCTTTATTTAATCATGTCTTTATTCATGTCTTTATTTAATCATGTCTTTATTTAATCAGGTCTTTATTCATGTCTTTATTTATTCATGTCTTTATTTAATCAAGTCTTTATTCATGTCTTTATTTAATCAGGTCTTTATTTAATCATGTCTTTATTTATTCATGTCTTTATTTAATCAGGTCTTTATTTAATCAGGTCTTTATTTAATCATCTCTTTATTTAATCAGGTCTTTATTTAATCATGTCTTTATTTAATCAGGTCTTTATTTAATCATGTCTTTATTTAATCAGGTCTTTATTTAATCATGTCTTTATTTAATCAGGTCTTTATTTAATCAGGTCTTTATTTAATCAGGTCTTTATTTAATCATGTCTTTATTTAATCAGGTCTTTATTTAATCATGTCTTTATTTAATCATGTCTTTATTTAATCAGGTCTTTATTTAATCAGGTCTTTATTTAATCATGTCTTTATTTAATCAGGTCTTTATTTAATCATGTCTTTATTTAATCATGTCTTTATTTAATCAGGTCTTTATTTAATCATGTCTTTATTTAATCATGTCTTTATTTAATCATGTCTTTATTTAATCAGGTCTTTATTTAATCATGTCTTTATTTAATCAGGTCTTTATTTAATCATGTCTTTATTTAATCAGGTCTTTATTTTCATGTCTTTATTTAATCATGTCTTTATTTAATCAGGTCTTTATTTAATCATGTCTTTATTTAATCAGGTCTTTATTTAATCATGTCTTTATTTAATCAGGTCTTTATTTTTCCAGGTCCTTACACACTTATGTTCATACATTTGAAAAGAAACCTTAAAAGATTCAACAGAGAAGTGAAACTGTCGTCTAGAAAGCGTCTCTCTGCAGCTCTCTCACCTTTCCTACGATGCTGCCCACGGTGATGATGGATCCTTTGGGTGCTCCACAGGCCACCAGAGCCTGAGCCACAGCCTGAGTGATCAAGAAGGAGCCCTGGAAGAGACGCAGGAGCAGGAGTGAGTTCATCTCTTCACAGTAAATCAGCACCAGAGAAAAGAGTGTTTGAAATAATAACAAAAATCATTCAGCTCTGTGGACAAAACACAACAATCCTAAACGTTCTTCAGCCTCAATAAAGACATTTTCACTCATGCACTACTGAAAGTCTTCATTATTTTCAGGCAGTCAGAGGTGGTGGACAGAGCAACAGAGTCCAACTCTATGATGACAGTTTTTTTGTACATACTGGAGGACAGAAAACTTAAGGCAGCGGTTTAATAACGTGCACAGAGATCACACATATCGCGGTCATACAGTCTCTGGTTGTGCACGGGTCCTGAGGTAGAAACGTTACCACCCCCCTCTTGCTCCCTCACAGTGAATTTACCTGAATACTTCCTGCTGCGTTCTCACATCAGCTAACCCGACTTCATGCAGAAAAATGATCAGGGGGCTGCCGGCTAAAGAATTCCAGATAAAGTCGGAGTAGAAATGTGTCTGTTTGCGTTCACTCGTGCAGTTTTTTAGAAGTTTTGTGAGAGAATCATTTTATGAATTCTTTTCTTCAAGTGCAACAACGAGAAACTTGAATCTTCGGTTGTTTCCTGTTGAAGACAACAGAGACTGATTTCTTTCTTTCTGATTCTTCTCACAAAGTCGACCCACGTTATGTCTCAACAGCAGTGATGGAAGAAGAGTGCTTTAAGAAGTGCTGCAATTTGAGCACAAATGAACCGGCATCGAGGGCCAACATCTAAAAATATGAATCATTTGTAACTTGTAATTCTGGTGCCGACTAGTGAGGGTGATGACTTCCAACCTTTAAGTGGACTAACGGGCACATCCCTAGTTATTAGATTGTGATGTCATCCTCTGACGTTAACCTGATAGACTCGATTACACGCTGAACTTGCTTCATACCTTCAGGTTGACCTGGATGACTCTGTCAAAGTGATCCTCCTCCATGTTGAGCAGGAAGTGGTCCTGCGTGATGCCTGCTGCGTTCACACACACTGAGGGAGGCTGGAAGTAATGAGTGTGTAGAGGAACAGAACAATAACTTACAAGGAGAGAAAAACAACACGTGGAATAGCCCCTCCAGCATGAAAACACACAGAGAGAAAAGTACCTTTTTCTACAGAAAGGTTGCTGATTATGATGGAAATGTAAACACATGTTGTGTTGGCTTGTCTTCCTGTCTGTATCACACCTGTATTCTGGTGACCAGCTTCTTCACGCTCTCTTTTGATGACACATCCACCACAGCCGCCATGTGACCCTGTCCTCTGAGGTCATTCTGCAGACCCACCATGGTCTCGTTGGCAGACTCCTCGCTGATGTCTGCCACCACCACGGAGGCGCCCTCAGAGGCCAAACGCTGACATACCGCCCGTCCGATCCCACTGCCTCCTCCTGGGAGGGAAAAGAGTAGCATGAAGTTACCAGAGTGACAGAATGTTTTAAACACAACGCTGCAGAGGAAAGACTGAGTGTGACAGAAGATCCACTCTGGAAGTATCTGAAAAAACAAATATCAATCAAGGACGACAAGAAAACACACAGGACAGGAAGCTGACTTGATGTGATTGATTTTCAGTTTGATTAGCCCAACAGTTCAGGGCTACATGACCAATTGTTATTCACAAATCATCTGCGCCCAATCACATTTCTTTCTTTCTTCTGTCTTCAAAAACCTTGAGTCCACTTTTCTATGTGAAAATGTAAGAGGACAAGTGATGCTTCATCATTCATAATACAGCTTTAATGTTTATTCCATCAGTCAAAGAAGACAATTAATAAGCCACAATTCTCATAATACATGTATCCTTTCAGTCACTCACTGTATCCACACTGTATTGCATTTTTTACAGTTTTGAACCTTAAGTCGGACAAAACCAGACATTTAAAGATTTAAACTCTGAGGCATTTAAACATGTTTCCTTTTTCAGTATTTTCACAATTCAACGGCAGATCATTTCATTCTGAAATGGTTGCAGGTCTTATTGATAGCATACACACAGCCAGAATGACAGCTACACTTTCACCTTCACTCTCATTTCAAGTCATCAAACTTAATTCAGTCCGATCTGCTCGAGGTACTGATTTAGAAATCACTGATAGAATCACGGTTACACTAAAATAATGAATTCATTGTCAGCTTACTTTGGAGATCAAACTTTTTGATATCAGAAGCTACTTGCAGTAGGTAGCTGCTTTGATTTGGTGAATTGAAGAAGATTGCAGAAAAACACACGGCTTTGAACGCAACATCTTGAAAAGGGAAAAGGGCATGTCCTTAAACGTCTCACTTCACACAACACCATGTATCTTACAACATATATTTACCAGTGACCAGCGTCAACCTTGATATCAGCCGTGTGGCAGCCGTCATACTCCCATCATGTTTCCCCCCCTTATGTTGTTGTAGCTTTCGGGTTGTCCACTAGATGGCGCCCAGTGATGAAAAATGTTACGTGTTCCGGTTCCGGTTGATGACGAGCCCAGCAGAGTTTAACTAAAAGCTAAGGAGGCGAGGAGGGAATCATCTATTACAATGCTTTGTCATTTTATTCATCAAACTGACCATAGATTACAGTCACAGTATGAACAGGATGGAATATCCCTCCGTTTTAATACAAGGTTTATTTTGAAAGGGTTTAACGGAAGTATCTCTTCGCTACGTGTATCTAACTTGACTCTGCGGGTGTAGTTCTTCATTGAGGCCACTAGATGGCGCACGATACTGAATACGCCAATGTAGAACAAGAAACACATTTAAAAACAGCTACACGGACAGAATACATGATGTTGATTCAAATGAACATTAAATACATTTTTATCTTGGACAACAGATATTTTATAACTTAATTGGCCATAGATTAAAGCGTTGTGTTGTTCACTCCGTCAAACATTACCTTCATAAAGTGCAGCTAGCGTTAACAAGAGGGAGCTGTAAGGCGATGTGATAATGTTCCTTTACAAACTTTCACTGTTTGATAGAAGAAAAAGATTAAAGTCTTTTGTTATAATTCGGTAAAGTTAATTAATCAGCATGAACAACGGCTTCCTAGTTTTGGTGAATTGTTCAGGAGGACACAAACTTTCCTGTGAGCTTTGCATAGATGTTTAGAATTAGCGGCAGAAACTTTGTTGATCAAGAGGGAGATAAAATGCCTCAACCTCCATTAATTTGAGGTAAAAGTATGAAATGATGTATTCCTCTTCCTCGATAGTCTTGTTCTTGTTTCTAGCTTGAGGAGGTTATTCTTAACAGAGTTGATAAAAGTATAACCGTGAGTACACACTGCCCCCTGTGGTCAAAGTGCAAAACTTTTATTTTGATAGTGATAGTCGGAAGTTGTTCTTTGTATAAACATCTACCTTGACAGATTGATGACGCAGTAAATCATTGTGTCATACATAGCGTAATTATAATATAAATAAAGCACATATGGCATTATCATTAACAAAGCAAACAGTGTTTGTACTTAAGCTGTGAGTATTTGGATTTATTTAACTATTGAGGACAATTATCCTTAAACAATCTTTAACAAGAGCTTTGAATTAACTGTAAAAGTTCTCTGTTTTTACTGTCTGTGATCATCAACACGTCATGTATGAAAGAATTGAGTTGACTGAGAGAGGGTCAAATATTTAATAATAATAATTTGGGGAAAGTATACATTGTATTTCTGGATCAGGGATAGTATAAGCTCATTTATTTATTACAATAAAAAATGTATCAGATAATCAGGCCTCTGTGAACATACGATCACACACTAAAAATATATGTATTTATTTTACATGTGATCACACAAGATTCAAAAAAATAATAATAATGTTATAATAATAATAATAATAACATCTATATATAGGAGAATTTTTAAAATGAAGCTACAAAGTGTTTTACAAGGACAGCAATAATAAAACAAACGTAAAACAGTCTAGACATAAAATCATAAGTAAAGGCAAACAATTATAAATAACAAACATTTTACATAACATTCATTTAAAAGATCTTTAAAAGAAGCAAAAAATATACATTTTGAAGGAATTTTTAATGTAAACTAAAATGACGTGAGGAAGGGCTCGCTGTTTAAAATATGTCTTAGGAGGGGGTTATAATGAAAAAGAGATTAACTGACTGATTATCTCACATGATCTCCTTCTCTCTACTTTCCCTATGATTTTATTTTAACAGCGATGACCGGAAGTAGTACAATGTAATTTATTTTGACTTGACAGTATTGATGCTGTAGTTACTCACTGTGACCACTAGAGGTCATAAATAATGTGCTTCTCATTTATTTACCGTTCAATCGTCGGCTACCCATGTTAGTGACTTCTCAAGTTAACTAAGGAAGCTTTGATGATTTCACATTAATTATGGAACCTTCAGTTGTTTGAAGGGTCCTATGATATCTCTGTGTTGGCATCTGTTTACAAATTAATTAATTAGTGGAGTAAAAATAAAAAATAAATTAATTTATAAGTGACATGTTGCAAAAACATTTGTTCTGTTAGACATGAAGAACAGCAGACAGCTTTTGAGGAAACTTTATGTTAATTTATTTCAATCCATATCGTTATTGAAATATTGAACAATGTTATCATTATTGAATATTTTTTCTCATATCGTTCCATTGCATATGTGGTAATTGTTACGTCCCATCTCCATTATTTGAATGTGATTTGTAGTTTTATTTAAAAGGAACAGATTTTTTGAACATCACCATAAAGTATAGATCAAATCCTTTAATTAAAGGTATCTCATCATTATATTACACAGAGCTCATCCTGCATATTTTATGATTATGTGTAAACACTGAAATTAATTTAACTTTAGTTCAGGTTGCATTCTCCACAAGTCTCGTTTTGTACATTTGAAGCTTTTATGTTTCCCCCCAATGATGACAAAAGTTCATCCTCGCCATCTTTTCTCTGCACCCCTTTTCAGAAAATGTGAGCTCAAACAGGCCGTTTTAGTGTTTGTCCATCATCTTGTCTGAGCTGCAGACTCATCCTAAAGTAAGGCTTTTAGTCGGCTTGGGAGATTTTATTTCGCTGCTGTATGCACATGTTTCTTTGAATAACATTTCTGATGTGGTGATTCGTGTTATTTCTGTTCATTGTCAGTCTTTTTCTCTCTGTGCGAAACTTTGATGCTGCTGTCTTGGCCAGAGCTCTCTTGAAATAAGAAATCTTGTATCTCAATGAGAATATTTTTCTGGTAAAATAAAAGTTAAATAGATTAAAAACAATATGCCTGTGTGAGGTTTGGACTGAGTTTACACAAAAAGCAGAGCAAAATGAAACACAGCATCAGGTGTTCAAACATCAACAAAGGTGTCACATTTCTCTTGTTCCAGCAGTTTTCAGCGTCCAAAGCTCCAAACTAGTTCAGGATCATTGAACCTGTCAGATAAAGCTGGATCTGTAAAGTGTGATCTGATGTTATTTCATTCAAACCATCTTTTGTGTGTCAGTGATTGTCCTGACAGTCGGCCTAATCTGTGCTAAGACCTGTGTGTAGACCTCTACTGAAGAGTTATACACAACACATGCAGAAAGTGATAAAAGAAGAAAATGATAAGTACTTCAAAAAGGTATAAGACGTCCTCCTTCATCTGATTTAATAACATTATTCAATGTTATGATTGTGCACACGTGTATTTAAATATCTGATAATCACAGAGCACATTGAGTTACTGCAGGACAGGAGAGCACCTCACCACATTTACTCACTATAACTTATATTAAACTATATTTATATCTGGATTAGGACTTTTTATTAAATCCCAGAGCAGCCATACAGAACAAAAGCACAACAAGACTCAACTACATCCCTACAAACTCCAGATTATCCCTGTATCTGACCTTTGAACTCTCACAAATGTATACACTTGTTCTTAAAACTTCACATTAACCAACAAAATATATAAAAATAATCTGATCATCTGAAGGTTTAACACTACTGTGATAAATAAATAAAGTCCTGCGTGTCTCCCAATGCTCTGTCATGGGCTCAAACAAGCGGAGTTAACTTTCACTTTCATTCACAACAGTAACGTTAACAGTCTATGTTCAGAACCTGTCTGAGTCAATCTGACCTAGTTACTAGTGACGTCGATGCTCAGGCTGAATTCTATTGGCTGAGACAGAGGTTGAAGTCAGCTCTCTTTTTTCTCCCTCATTTCACCCTCAGAGCTCGAAACACGCAGATTCTCAAGAAGTTGATGAGAAACATAAAGTTTGAAGTTGGATGAAGCTGAAGACTTCACAGGTCACAATGAAGACTCTGGTGTTTGTGTCTCTCGTGGGATTATTCCTCCACGACACGACGGCAGGTGAGTTCAGATTCATTGAAGACGATTTAATGGAAAGAGGGAAATGTCGCATGTCTTTATAAACTGTTGGTAGAAATGAAAGCTTCATTTGATGTTTGTTCTCAGGACTGAAGCAGCTTGTTGAAATGTGAAAAGTGAACATTTAATTTGACGTTAGTAAATCCTGTTTGTTCACGTCCTCACACCCTGATACTTACAAGAAAAGTGTTGTTGTGAGAAAGGCTATAAAAAGTGTCTGCTAGTTATCTTTTCCAAAAGACAAGCCGAGAAATGATGAAGGCCCGGTTCATATGAACAGGACCATGAATGTTAAAATAGCAGCATAACTACAGTGAACACAGCAGATAGACTCTGATTCAGAAAGAAAAAGGAACTAAATGCCTTCAAAGTGTTTCACCTCTAAAACCATTAACAGAGCATTTAAATGGACTCTTTAAGTCCTTCATGACACTTTAATGTTAGAAAAAGTGTTTTGTTATTAATGTAGTATAATTAATGTGGTATAAATACTTATTTCACTTGAATGAATTGTGATAATTAACATATAATCAGAGTGTCACAGTCATTAAAGTTCATTTTGTGAGGATCAAACTCAAATATGTGCTCAAAGAATCAGAAACATAATCAACCTCCTGACCCTCAAAATGAAGTTAATCTCGGTTTATTGTTTTACCTCTGAATATTTGTATATGAAATATGAATAAGCTCAAAGCTATTCCACAGATGATCTTCATCTTTTACATGTTTGTTTGTTGTTTAGTTGAGATCACATAAACCCTGAAGCTCCAACATTTCATTGAAGTCAAACATCAGACTGTTTAGTGGATCTAGAAACACATATCTGCTGATGTGAGCTTATTGCACATATTTAGTTTTCTGTGCTTATGTTGGCCGATAAGTGACAGAAAACAGTGAAGCAGCTTGAACATCATTTAGAAACAGAGTCTGCATTACAGAGTTTGTCCACCAGAGGGCAGTCACGACTTTATTCTCAAACTGAAACGTCACAGCTCAGTTTGTGTTTCCCACACAAAAAGAAATAAATGGTTTTAATCTGTGAAAGTCAAAAAAACATCCACAGCAGCCTCAACAATTCAGCATTAATAAGACTACAAAGTTTGTAGACTTTATTCAAAGTGGTTACATTTATTCCTGCACAGATTTATCTAAAAGCTTTTTTGTTCTGAGCAGTGCATATTTTTCTAAAGAGCAGATTAAAAACAGAACAATGATCGACGTGCATTCAGAAAGCAGACAACATGCAGGATTCAGAAATGATCTGTCATTTAGTTGAAGTTTTTTAGTTGAGTTTTTTCTAATTGAGTTTTTCTGCGCTGGCTGATTGTGCAGCTCCACTCAGTCTACACAGCTTCTTAAACTGTGCTCCATATACTGTTCAATAGTTTTTCTTTGTTGCTGTCCTCCAACACTGTCCTTTCAAAACTCAAATAATAAAACCCGCC